CACAGTTGGCCGCCAGTGTTAGTCACCGTAATGGTGCATGACTGACGGGATCTGGCTGGTCGTGCGCCAGAAACGATCAAATCTGTCCGTTTTTATGGCATTTCATGGCCATGGATTTGCCAGTGCACGGCCGGCCATATATAGCCAGTCGTGCACCATCCATTGACTACCGGCAGTGGTGGTTGGCTACCGGTAGTGACTTGGGGTGAGTGAGAGTGATTTTGCTATAAATTAAAGTTATATATGACTGGAGTATTTTAACAAAATTTTAAATGTAGGGAGTTAAAAACAAATGATTAAAAATAATAATAAAAAATAATATTATATTAATATTTAAAAAGGAGGGCAATTTAGTAATCTATATAATATACCCACCCATTTATCATCTCAATCAAACATATTATTTATCAATTTATTCAAACCAGCTAAACGTATTTTTTAAACATTCACAATAATCTTCAAGGTGATCTATCTTTCCGTTAATATAACATCTCTTATAATAAAACTTTATATGATCCAAACGCCCCCTGAGATATAAAAGATATATCCATATGTTGATAGCTTCAAATCTTTTATATCAATGAGTAAAAAAAAGTTACAAATTTTATGTTTTATTACTTTGTTTGGATTGAACAATTCAAGCCGATGATGAGCTCCAAATTTATGTAAAATTCGTTATATTTTGTCAAGGAACAATAATATACTATATTTTGAATTCAAAGGTTTAAAATAAAATTAAACAGAAAATTTAGGGTAGGTGATTATGACCATATAACTAATTAACAGATTAACAAACTTGTATTTTCCGAATAATTTTTTGTTATAAATTAAGCCCTAGAAACTTTATTTTCTTCACATTAATTGTCAATTATTAATCCCCTCTTTTAGATTAGATATCCCCATGGCAAAGTCTAACATGAAGAGCTTGAAGGCAGCTCATTTTGCACTTGTTTTCATTGTCTTTGCAGCAATCTTGCCTCTTCATCAATGTAAATCACAATACTTCTCCTGCTTCAAGTGTTTTAAATATCGGTTTCAAATAAATCCCACAGATTTTATTTTTTTCATTTGGTTTTTGATTAATCAGGTTATGTTCAAGGAACGTGTGAGCAAACAACGTATCAAGGTTTAGAAATGTGGTGTTGCACAGCAAATGCCCGTTCTGTAGGATGCTTTCCCTCACAAAAGAATTGTTTATCTAGTTGCCGTGGGGCAACCTCAGCCCCCAAAGGAGCCCCAAGTCTAGCCCCTCTTCCATTTCCACCCCGCAGCAATCCACCAGAGCACTATTAATCGGGCTGTCATGGATACATATTTGTTACTTTCCATAACCCTTGAGCTTGTTTGATGCTTTTTCTTGAAGCACGACATGGTTTTTGTAGTTCTCACACTGTTGCTTTCAAGCAAGCCACTCCCAAACCCACCTAAACTTTATTGCAAAAGGTAACTTTTTTTTTCTTTCGATAACAATTTTAACTGTTTATTTTGATGCCTATATATATACCAGCTAAAGTCTATACATAAAATGAACTCTAAAAGGGATTTTAATTTATAAGTACTAGAATTTTCAAGACTTGAGTTAAAAACCATGAGTTTGATTTCCTTTTGAAGATGAATTATCACGAGCAAGTATTAGAATTGTCATCTTGTGTAATAGTAAACCCTCGTGGGCTTGTCATGTCACTTCTTTAATTCAAGAAAGAAAACTTTATGCTATGTTGTAGTTGTTCTTAATTAACAGAATAAGTTAAGTGATTCATGAAATAGTTTATGTGGGGAACATTGTTTCAATCATGGTCGGCCTACCGACACTGGTTTACCACTTTTGTGGTCATTTTTTAAAATTATAGTAAACCTTCAAGAATCATTCAAGGGGGTATTTTGGTTATTCAACATAGAACCAAATCATCCGTGGTCCGGAATAAAGTCTCCACCAATGACCCCCTTTGGCCTTTTTCAATCGCAAAGCTCTGCATACACCACTAGGTGATGGGGTAAATTTTGCAAAAATAAAATTATCAAATGAAAATTTCTCTTTTCTCAAATTACTTCAATGTCCTTGTGTTCTTAAATGCATCCATCCATCATGATTTGGCAGGTGCCCTTCCTGTTTCTTCCTTGGTCCTTAATTAATTTTATACACGTCGCTTGTGCTCCTCCATGCATTTCTTGCTTAAGAGTCCGTATTCTTGCTTAAGCTAGAAGGGAATGGTCCCCTTTATTCAATTCTCTTTAATACAGAGAAGCAAAGTCTTTTTTTTTTTTTTTCAAATGGAAAGAAGAATTGATTTATGAATTTATTTAAGTTAAAATAGGAGAATAATTTAAATTAGAGGAGTTCTATTAGGAAGAAAAGTATGAATCATAGTAGAATAAGAATGTCTTATTTTACTTATAAATAGGAGAGTAAGAATAAATTCAAGGTTATGACTCATGAGAGAGGGAAGTAATGAAAGAGATAATGCGAGGACATAAGGGGTTTTGATGTAAGGGTACTATGGGTATCGAGTAAATACCAAAGGATATTAAACACCATAAGAACGAGATGTCCATCTAAGTAAGGGTACTAGTTGATGGTGTGATGAAATACTTGCATCGTATTTATATTATTATAGAGAAAACCCTCTTATCCGTGCATGTAAGCAAGTTATGCTGAACCACGTAAAATATCGTGTGCCTTTTTATGCTGTTATGTTTTTGTTCTTTAGTTTATTTTTTTTACTCCTCCAATTTTCAACATGTTATCAGAGTAGATTTTGATTTTTCAACATGACATCAGAGCTTATTTTCTTAAGGGACCTATGAGAGATGAAACTTGGAACCTATCAGAGCCAAACTATTCTCGACCCGACTCACGCCAAGCGCCACAAGGGAGTGGCAGACAAGGTGACCACAACGACAAAGGTGTTATCGGATTTGAGTGGGAGAGAGTGTCACACCGAGTACCCGAAGCAGAAGAAGGCCAGGTAGACAGGGTGGTCAACTCCAAAATTCTCACATCGAGCAGGAGGGAGGTTCTTGAGAAGATGAACCTAAGGAAGAAAAGAAGAGACTCCAACACAGGTTGGAGAGAAGAAGCCAACATTAAGGGTGGAAGGCTGAAGTTGTAGAAGAAATGAGGAGTAAGAGAATGAAGAACAAGCTTAGAACATGAATTAGCAAAATGGTTTTCTGCCTGGAAAATTTCATTGCAGTTCTAACTTCCAGAATCAACATTATAACCAACAAACAGAGCTCAATCCCAAATTCTGCTAATTTTTGTGTGCAAATGAGCCTGTCAGGTTCAACATAAAGCAGAACTAACATATAAAATATTCAGCTGATGAAATAACGAAAATAGATCTCTAAGAGTTTATGGTGGTGAGGTTCTGAAACTATCAGGAATATTCAGCAGGCAAGGAACAGTTAATCTTGACCTGACCTTGAGATCCTGACAGGACTCCAAGGCTTGACATCTTAACTATGGCCCTGGCAAAGTCAATTCTGAAGATCGTTCCGTCGCCTGATGCGTAAGCCTTTACCAGGGTGCAGTTTTCTCATTAGCCATCAATTGCTGATCAGCATAGTCCTCTCCCTCTCAGCAAGCTCCGGAAATAATTTGTCAAAATCTGAGCCTGATGAAATTGCAGAATCATTAAGGCTGCTGCTGCCGTTGTTGGCCTGACAATTCAGTCTCAGTTCATTCAGAAAATCAGCAGGAACAGTTTGATCTGGTTGACCTGTCCCCGTAAAGTTGTAGAGGCGGCCTGTAATGAACTGACGGCTAATTTTTCCGATGTTGTGACTTGTGCACCCCTGCAGATAGCAATAGCGAAGTAAAAATTTTACTTCAAGCAATGAATTTTATGACCGAAGAGATAAATGGGAAAATTTAAAGAGTGTGTACCTAAAAGACTGAATGTTTCTCTTTCATTGAAGCCTCCGAGAGAGAACTGGTGAAGTGTTTGGGAAAGATTGCCATCAGGTTTTGGAATCTCATATCCATAGCTTCCTGAAAGTATGATTCACAACTGTCTCTCCTGCCTGTAAATTTTGGATAGTATGGACCACCTTGCTGTGATATTTAGATACAAATAAACACTCTTGAAATATAAGAATAAAAATTACCACATTTGATCAGTTGTATATTTATGATTGAGAAGAAACAAATAGAAACTTCAAAACACAATCTAGCCATGATAAGCTTGGCTCAAGTCAGTTCTATCAACAAGACCAAGCACTACATTAATCTAATTTGTCTTCTCCAACAAAACCAAAACTGATGATATAATTATAAAAATCATCTTTGTATACTGCAGCCGAATCATCAAAATTGATACTCTGATCATCGAATTCAACATCTTCTCCCTCGTTTGCATGCTTATGACCAACTGAAGTTCTGTCGCCTGGTGTTGTTGGTCGAAAATCATCTTTGTATCCTGCAGCTGATCGAATCACCCAAACTGATGATAGAATTATAAAATCATCTTTGTATGCTGCAGCCGAATCATCAAAATTGATACGCTCTGATCATCGAATTCAACATCTTCTCCCTGGTTTGCATGTTTATGACCAACTCCAGGTCCGTTACTGGTGTTTTTGGTCGAAATCGTCTTTGTATCCTGCAGTTGATCGAATCACCCAAACTGATGATAGAATTATATTGCCACACTCAACTAGGGATATTATCAACAGTAGATAGGGTGTGTTCAGTAGAAAGAATTGCATGGGTCTGGCAATTAATTAATTAATTAAAGCAAGAAGAATAACACATTTGTTCATAGATGCATCCATCATCAACAACAACAACAAACGTGTTATTCTTCTTGCTTTAATCGCCAGACCCATGCAATTCTTTCCGCTCAACAGACCCTAGTGTTGACGGTGGAAATTTCCTCCATCTTTTGAGAAGGTCACGAATAACTTAAACCATAGAATTATAAGAGCACACTCAAACAACGAGGGAGGTAAGCTAGCTACATATAGAAGGAGGTAGAATCCATTAAAGTTGGGAATAATTAATGAAAATAGGCAAAGTTGGGAGGCACCGCCACCACCCAAATGCACCAAAAGGACAGATTCTCAGAGAAAGTAACTTTATCTACCTTCCTAAGCGTAATTACTTGCTGCTGAAGGAAGAGATCATCTCTAAAGTGGTAATAATAAATAATTTTTCTTCAATTGTTAAACATAGCCTTATGTGAACATGAAATACGACGTTGCATTAGTGGGATATGATGTGGACTTCAATTAAAAAAATTGTCCAAGTTGCTTATTGTTTAATTAAAATTAAGAAAATTGCCTATTTTAAGTTTTTAACACTAGCCAGTAGTACTTTTTCTTAAAATATTATGGTAGACTAATGATGGTAATAGTTGATGTTAAAATATTACGATAACAATTTTTAGAGTTAAATTAACCGAACCCAAGGTGGGCCACCGCCCTCTTGGGATTTAAAAAAAAAAATGTCTTATAACATTGAGGCTCATAGAGTTTTATATAATTACAATTAACCCTTACAATAATTAAACACAAAAACATATTAAATGAAAACTTACCTAATCTAACAATTAAGTCTAAAAACAAATTAAATGAAGTTGTATGTTATAAATAAGGCCCATCGTATACAATTTGAATTACCCAATCCAATAATTAAACCAAAATTCCAAATAAATGAAATTTTAGATTATAAATAAATAAAACACATTTGATTCAAACTTAATAAATTAAGGTTTTGATATAGGAAAAATTCTTTATTACCTCACAAATCATATTGTACTTAATTTCTTTAATTTAATTTACCTTTAAAAAATTAAGATTTTTTATGGGTTTCCTTACATTAGTATGCATGAATTCTTTTATTTGCTTTACCATATACATATTAGGAAAATTATGATTGTATTGAACACAAAACATTATCAATAAATATTATAGTTTTAATAGTTATCATTATGAAACAAAAAATTAAAGTATATTATTTTATAATTGGCCGAACGACATGCACCTACCCATAGTTTGTTGTAAAGACAATTTGGTACCCAAAAGGTTTGAAAATGACAAACAGCTACTTTTCGTCAAAATCTGTTAATAAATTCCGCCTGAAGAAGGATAATGTGGTAATTTTCCATTCAATTAAAAAAGAGGCCAATTTCCTGTCTTTTCTTCTTTCTTTTTCGCTGCACTATAATGAACAATGCTTCAATGTCTTTGTCTCCGCCACTTACCACCTTCTAATGAAACTCCATCTTTGACTCTCTATTTCCAATCTTCTTTCTTTCTCTCTAAAGATTTCGCCTTTCCAAGTTTTGGAGAGAGAGTAAAGGGTCCTTGAGTTTTTTTTTTTAAGGAAGGTTGATCACACTTCACGCCCATTTAACCAACCATGTCTGATTTAGCTAAAGAAGCCTAGAGAAAATATCTTATACAACTCCAACTACACCTACTAAGGACCAAGGTTTTATTCCATTCTTGATCCTCATCAATACCCTTTTTCTTTGGGGGGGGGGGGGGGGGGGGGGGGGGGGGGGGGGGGGTGGAGGGAGGAGGAGAAGTAGTTGGTGTTTGTGGTGGAGGTGAAGCTTTTGGTGGATTAGATGGTGGTGATGGAGATGAATTTGATGGTGGAGGAGGAATTGTCGGTGGATTGGCCACTGGTGGTGGTGGAGGGGAATTTGTTAGTAGAGGTGAACTCCTTGGTGGATTAGATACTGGCGATGGTGGTGGTCTAGATGAACTGGTTGGTGGATTAGAAACAGGTGGAGATGATGGTGGTGATGTAGGTTAATTGGATTGTTGAGGAGGAGGGGGAGAAGGTGTAGATGTCAATGGGGGTGGAGATGTATTTTGAGGAGGTGGTGGTGAGACAGGTGGCTATGCAGGAGGTGATGGAGTAGAAGGTGTGAAGGGGTTAGGTTGATTTGCACTGGGCTCAGAAGGTGAGGAGGTTGTAGGAGGTGGAGAAGATGGATGTGATGATGGGGGTGGACTGGTGTTAGATGGTGGTGCACGGAGGGTGATAGAGGTGGCACAGCAGTGGGAGATGAATTTGGAGGTGCCACGACAGTAAAGAAAAATATTTGAAGAAAAGAAAAAGAAATAAGAAAAGAGACGAAAGTGGTCTCTTGTTCGACTGATTGCAAAATTATCATATTGTCCTTCTTCAAACGGAATTCACTAACAAATTCTAACGAAAAGTGGCTGTTTGTTATTTTCAAACCTTTTGGGTATCCAATTGTCTTTATAACAAACTATGGGTGGGTGCATGTCGTTCGGCCTTTTTTAATTTCGCTAACCTCACTAGAATTCCTAGTCCGGCACTGACAGAGATTTGAAAGCACAGAAATCTCTTTAGTCTCTGTTAAAACATACTCAATTTTCAGTTTCATTAGCTTCTTGTTAGAATTTTAATATTCATTTTCTTCATGGATACACTTTTGTGACGGTAATAGATGGATCATATGCCACTTTAAGTTTTGTATATAAAATATTTTTGATGTTACATTATTTTTCCCAAAGTTATAACTTTCATATTATTATATGCATAGAGTTGTTAGGGGCTCTAGAAAAAGAAACTTTATTAGAGATTAATTTATATTATATGTATAGAACAATATTTCATTATAAATGAAGACTTAGGGGTGAAGTAATTGAAGTGGAAAACCACAAAAAATGACATTTGTTTACAATAAACATTTAATTTCAAATTTCAAATTGTTAAAGTATGTTGCATATATACGCATTACAGAATTTATAAAGGGTTTTTTCCGGTCCTCTAAGGTTTAATTAAGTTATTGAAAACCTAAGGGTTTCAGAAATAAGAAAAAACCCTCAAACCAAGATGTTGGTATGAACACTGCCCATATCCCACCATCAATCTTCTACAACACAAAAACATTGTTTTAGGTGTAGTTTGGGATTGGTTGTAGCTTGTTTTATAATCACTTATGGATCAACTTCTGATAGAATTTATATGCAATGTTTGTTTTACTTTACTTTAAAATTATGTTTGGTTTTAGGAGACGAAATATAACCAATATAAAAGGACCAAAAAAAAAAAAAACATTTTTAAATAATTTTTTTCATTATTAAAACATATTAAAATATTGTTTTAATCTACTATTCCCTACTATTTCTTAATTTTTTTTTTTTTTTAAAAAAAGGAGCATCTGGTTTGAGCTTGTTTCAATTTGTTTAAGAACAAAGAAGATGGAGATGAGAGACAAGTGTTAATGGTGGACTTATGAGACAAATCACACCAAACCATCGCATCTATTATTTTCCTTCTCTTCACTTGCCTAGAAATAATGGAGATTATTTTTTATTTAGTTTAGTTGATAAATATTGTGTAAATACTTTTTTTCTAACCTTCAACCGTTTAATTTAATAGAAATTCCGTAAGGGGGCGTTTGGTTCAAGAAATGTTGGATTACTGGGAATATTGGATTACTGAAAAAATAGATTACCTTGAAGATTACTGTGAATCTTTAGGAAAATGTGTTTGGTTAATTGATGGGTATGTTATATTAATATGTTTAGTTAGGAGAAATAAATTGATGGGTATATTATTTAAATTATTGAATTATCCTCTAATTAAATATTATTATTATTTGGATTACTATAACCCCCCTACATTTAAAAACATGGCAAAAACAACCCCATAACAAAAGTTTAGAAAATCAACAAAACACCTCCTACCAACCTAGCCACTGTAGGCCGCCAGCAACCTAATGGTGCACGGAAGGCTGAAAATGGCCGTTTGTGCGTCGATATGGCCATTTTCGACTAGATATTTGGTCGAAAATGGCCAAATCTGGTCATTGACGGCCAGATTGATTACAGATTTGGCCGTCAACGGCCAGATCAACGGATTTGGCCTTTGATGGCCAGATATGGCCATTTCCAGCTAGATATCTGGCCGAAAATGGCCATATCGACGCACGACGACCATTTTCGGCCTTCCATGCACCATTTCGGAGGCGGTTGGCTGAGGCGGTGGTTACCGACGGCAGGAGGCTGGGGGTGGTGGCTTGGATGGGCTGTAATTTGTTTTGAAATTGTAATTTTGTCCAAAAAATTAATTAATTGGGGGTGAAATAGTAAAAGTCATATTTATGTAAATAAATTTAAAAATAAGGGCATTATTGTCCTAAAATTTTATTAATAAGGGATAAAATTATAACAAAAAAAGATAACTCTGGTAAGTATAGAATACTAAGAAAATGGAAGTAATTAGATTACCTTAACCACTATTGGTATTTGAAGATTACCGGTATCTTATATTACTTGACAACCAAACATGGTAATCAAATAATATAAGATGACTTAACCCCAATAATCTCAAATACCCCCTAAACAAACGGCCCCTAAGGGTAGTGTAACGATAAGTTATTTAAAAAACCATCGGGGTATTTTTTATTAAACTAAAGCAATAATTTTTTTTTTTTTTAATATTGGGAGATAACAGGGGAAGGCCACACATCAGAGAAAATAATTTCAAGTGGTTGAGAGGAGATAACAGTAGATGTGAGAAAGGTATTTATGGCTTTTATTGCAATGACAAGCATTACACAAAAATCAGAGATTAGAGAGGAAGACAATTCTAACTGATAATGTGAAACAATATGTTTTAAAATGGGAAATGCAGGATGGCCTAATCTATGATGCCACTCAGATGAAGAAGTTTTGACACTAGAAAAGGCTACTAATAGAGATGTTGGGGAAGAGGGAACGGCATTCATACACCCCACTTCGTGTGACCTTCAAAAAGATTGCCCCCGTGCGAAGTTCCTTCACATGAAAGAGGATGGTAAGAATTAATAGAGACATTGTTTGATGTACAAATTGAGAAATGGAAATTAGATCTTTTTCATGCTAGGGACACACAAAACATTGTCTAATTTAAATGAGTGTTAGAGTGGTAAAAGATGTAGAACCAGTGTGAGTTATAGGAGACTCGATCCATCGCTAATCATAATGTCATCTAAACCATTGTAAGGTGTGTGGAGAGAGAGATTGCTCAGGTCAGCAGTGACATGATGAGAAGCACCACTGTCCAGTAGCCATTGCGGAGTGGTAGGAGTAGTGTTGGCTGCAAAATGAGCTCGAGGTTGCCATGGTGTCATAGTGTTTCACTGGTGCACAGGAGTTGTATGGGTGATTTGGCACCAAGCAAAAAGAGGGACATCTCTTGGCAGTGTGCCCCTGTAGTCCACATATGGCAATAACCAAGATAAGGTCGGAGGGAGGTCGTTGGCTACGAGCGAGTTTTGTCCAGGTTGGAAATGCGGGGGAGCGATTGGGATTGGGTGAAGGACGCCAACCTATACTGTTGTTACCAGAATGTGTTGATGGACGCCAATTGTTGTTGGTGTTACCATAGTTGAAAGAGGGACACCAACCTGTAGTGTTACGATTTGCAGGATTGCTGAGGCTGGGAAATGAGAGGGTTCAGATTTTGTACCTTGAAGAGACGCTCAAAATTTAGAAGCTTTCGTGGAGCTCATCAAACGTGATCATGGTATCGCGGCTTGAACTGCACGTATAAGCTCTTATAGTCACCCCAAGACCATCAAGAATTTTGTCTGTGAGGTCATCTCATCCATTGGTGCCCCAAGAATAGCAAGTTCATCAGCCCGACACTTCACCAATTGAAGAAACTTGTAACAGTTTGAGACCCTTTGGTTAGATTTTTAATTGATCTCTTACTGCTTGATGCGCCCTCGAGATGGCTGGCATATGTGTTTGCTAGGATCAACCAAGCTTCTGCTGATGTTTCGGCTTTAGCAATGAAGGGATAAGTGTGGGAGAAAGAGATCACAACTAAAGCATTAAGAATCAGTTGGTCTTGTCTAATCCAAGTAGTGCGAGTAGGATTTGGTACAGTGGTGTCGTTGAGTGATAGTGGAGGGTGGACAAGGTTTGGATCCATCTATATCCTAAGAGGTCATAGCCGACAAAGAGAGTGTGGAATTGAGTTTCCAGGAAATGTAATTGGTTGTGGTGAGTTTGAGTAGGGCTTGGGTAGCGACATTGATGAGAGAGAGATGTATTTGGTTCATTTGTGTTTTGAATAACAGGTGGAGAGTTGGAATTTTGGTTGTTGTCATGGTACTGTGGCTGGAAAGAGAACGCAACAATTAAATGCTCTAATACCAATAATAAATGAGAGAACAAAGGAACAGAGGAGAGGAAATATGCCACACGGCTTTCATTAAGGTAGCAAATATATAAATACACAAGATTGTAACAGATTGGAAACTTATCACTAAAGATAAGTGTACATCTATAACTTAAAATACAAATTCAAGATTGTAACAGATTGGAAACTTATCACTAAAGATAAGTGTACATCTGCAACTTAAAATACAAATTCAAAAATTAAACAAACAGAAGCAGTACAACTCTCTAATATTAGGGTTGTACCATGCTCGTGGAGCTTGTTTAAGCCCATAAATTGCTTTCCGAAGCTTGCAAACATGAGTTGGATTATCTAAATCAACAAAGCCTGGAGGTTGGGACATATAAACATCGTCAGAGAGATGACCTTGCAAAAAGGCATTGTTTACATCCAGTTGTCGTAGAGACCAACCATGACTCACAGCAAGGCTAAGAACTAAACGGACTGTAGTAGGCTTCACCACAGGACTAAAAGTGTCATGGTAGTCAATTCCTGGGTGTTGATGAAAGCCTTTCGCAACCAAGCGTGCTTTGTGCCTGTCAATAGAACCATCAGAGTGACGTTTAGTTCTAAAAATCCACTTACATCCAACTATATTGTGACTAGAATCTGACGGGCTCCCATGTCCCATTTTGAACAAGAGCATCATATTCTTCAGACATGGCCTGACGCAATTTTGGATCTTTGAGGGCTTGGGTCACAGTGGTTGGTTCTACATCACAAGGGTGAGAGAGTTGTGTGGAGAGATTAAGTTTCTCGATTGGCTTTCGAATGTTGTTTTTGGCTCTAGTTGTCATTGAATGTATGGGTGGTGGTCGTGAAGTTGTGTTATGGACAGTGATAGATGTGTTTGGTTGGGTGTCGGATGAAAGCATAGAGGTGGGTGGTTG